TCCCGCTCACCCCAAAAAAGGGGCACTATTCCTCCCGCTCACCCCAAAAAAGGGGCACTATTCCTCCCACTCACACAATAATGGGGTACTATTCCTCCTACAGACACCAATGATGGAGCACTATTCTTTCCACTGACACCAATGATGGGGCACTATTCCTCCTACTGACACCAATGATGGGACACTATTCCTCCCACTGACACCAATGATGGGGCACTATTCCTCCCACTGACACCAATGATGGGGCACTATTCCTCCCACTGATACCAGTGATGGGGCACTATTCCTCCCACTGACACCAATGATGGGGCACTATTCCCCCCACTGACACCAATGATGGGGCACTATTCCCCCCACTGACACCAATGATGGGGCACTATTCCTCTCACTGACATCAATGATGGGGCACTATTCCTCCTACTGACATCAATGATGGGGCACTATTCCTCCCACTGACACCAGTGATGGGGCACTATTCCTTCCACTGACACCAATGATGGGACACCATTCCTTCCACTGACACCAATGATGGGGCACTATTCCTCCCACTGACACCAATGACGGGGCACTATTCCTCCACTGACACCAATGATGGGGCACTATTCCTCCACTGACACCAATGATGGGACACTATTCCTTCTACTGACACCAACGATGGGGCACTATTCCTCCCACTGACACCAATGATGGGACACTATTCCTATCACTGACACCAATGATGGGACACTATTCCTCCCACTGACACCAACTGTGGTGCATGTTACTGACACCAGGGCATTTTCTACTCCAGCTGGCCACAGTCAGGCTCCTCTAAAGTCTGAAGGATAATAAACTGTCCCTTTGCGTAGAAAGTTTGGAGACCCCTGTTGTAGATGAATGCCGCCTCCGAGTCTCACAACCATCTTCTCGCTCATTTCTGTTTCAGGCTGTTTTGTACAACGATCGGTCGGTCCTGGAGAATCACCACGCGGCCTCCGCCTGGAACCTCTTCCTGTCCCAGCCGGACTACAACTTCCTGACGTACCTGGACCACGTGCAGTTCAAGCGGTTCCCGCTTTCTCGTCATCGAAGCCATCCTTGCCACCGACCTCAAGAAGCACTTTGATTTCCTGGCTGAATTCAATGCGAAGGTGCGTGCTGCATATTTCCAGCCTCAGACTCGCAGGAGATGAAATCCAAGCCTCTAAATAAAGGAATCCGCACACGTAGGGGGCGCCATCAACCTCATTTTCTAAGATCAGGTTTTATTGCTGTGTTGTGTCTCCTTTGGGTAGATTTGCTCAATTCGTCCCGATAACCATTGTCACCAGAGCAGAAAGTGATGAGACGTGATGAATGTTATGGTTTTCGAACGGTGACACTTGTTACAGTGACAACTTTCTGAAAGAGGATTTCCTCTCCCTTCCTGTGGTTTTTCCCGGACAGAATATGAAGGAAAGCCTACCCAATGGGATACAAACGGCAAACATTTACAATGCGTTTGAGACAATTTCCCAAATTCATTGTAACTATGGGTCATGCAGGGACGTAGATAAGGGGGGGGTTAGGGGGGTCCTAACCTCCCTCCCACAGAGCAGCCTGCCCCAATGCACATTTAGTCCCTGCTGCCGCATGGACCTGCACCGCTCAGCCTTGGCAACAGCAGTCGGATCTATGGAGGATATAGGAGTGGCAGCGGCATCAACCATCAGCGCTTGTAGTCCCCAGACTTCCCCCTCCTCCTTCTCTAAATGTCAGGGCCTTAGGGCGGAGCAATCACATGATTTGTTGCTAGGACATTGGCAGTCCTAGTCCTAGCAATCAATCACGTGTTTGCCCCGCCCCCAGACCGTAACATTCAGGCAAGGAGGGCAAGGACAGAACTTCCTGTAGACCTACCCGGACATTACTGCAGGCAGGAAACTGGGACACAAGGCAGGCTCTGCACAGACCTTTCAGGCTGACAAGTGGCACTCAGGGACTCAGGGGAGGTTTGCTACTTGTAAAAATGGCTTCCCACCTCACCTCACCTTCCTTCCCATACCACATCACCTACCTGCCACCACCACCTCCCCTCGCCCCACATACCATCTCACCTACCCTCCCATGCTGCCTCACCTACCCCACCCATACCACCTCACCTCCCCCCCCATACCGCCTCACCTTCCCCCCCATACCGCCTCACCTTCCCCCCTTCCCCCCCATACCGCCTCACCTTCCCCCCCATACCGCCTTACCTTCCCCCCCATACCGCTTCACCTTCCCCCCCATACCGCCTCACCTTCCCCCCTCCCCCCCATACCGCCTCACCTTCCCCCCCTCCCCCCATACCGCCTCACGTTCCCCCCCATACCGCCTCACGTTCCCCCCCATACCGCCTCACCTTCCCCCCCATACCGCCTCACCTACCCCCCCATACCGCCTCACCTATTGCCCCATACCGCCTCCCCCCGTACCGCCTCACCTACCCTCTCGTACCGCCTCACCTACCCTCTCGTACCGCCTCACCTACCCTCTCGTACCGCCTCACTTACCCTTTCGTACTGCCTCACTTACCCCCCCGTACCGCCTCACTTACCCCCCCCGTACCGCCTCACCTACCCCCCCCCTGTACCGCCTCACCTATCGCCCCAATACCGCTTTACCTACCTCCCCCCCCCATATGGCCTCACCTAGCCCTCATACTGCCTCACCTTCCACCCTTACCATCTCAACCCTCCCCCCATACGGCCTCACCTACCCCCCCCCCCCATTATTGGTTGTGGGAAACAACTCCACATTATTGACCATGGTTGTGGGAAACAACTCCATATTATTGACCATGGTTGTGGGAAACCACTCCATATTATTGACCATGGTTGTGGGAAACCACACCCATATTATTGACCATGGTTGTCGGAAACAACTCCATATTAATGACCATGGTTGTGGGAAACCACTCCACATTATTGACCATGGTTGTGGGAAACAACTCCACATTATTGACCATGGTTGTGGGAAACAACTCCATATTATTGACCATGGTTGTGGGAAACAACTCCATATTATTGACCATGGTTGTGGGAAACAACTTCACATTATTGACCATGGTTGTGGGAAACAACTCCATATTATTGACCATGGTTGTGGGAAACAACTCCACATTATTGACCATGGTTGTGGGAAACCACTCCATATTATTGACCATGGTTGTGGGAAACAACTCCACATTATTGACCATGGTTGTGGGAAACCACTCCATATTATTGACCATGGTTGTGGGAAACCACTCCATATTATTGACCATGGTTGTGGGAAACCACTCCATATTATTGACCATGGTTGTGGGAAACAACTCCATATTATTGACCATGGTTGTGGGAAACAACTCCATATTATTGACCATGGTTGTGGGAAACCACTCCATATTATTGACCATGGTTGTGGGAAACCACTCCATATTAATGACCATGGTTGTGGGAAACAACTCCACATTATTGACCATGGTTGTGGGAAACAACTCCACATTATTGACCATGGTTGTGGGAAACAACTTCACATTATTGACCATGGTTGTGGGAAACAACTCCACATTATTGACCATGGTTGTGGGAAACAACTCCACATTATTGACCATGGTTGTCGGAAACAACTCCACATTATTGACCATGGTTTTGGGAAACAACTCCATATTATTGACCATGGTTGTCGGAAACAACTCCACATTATTGACCATGGTTGTCGGAAACAACTCCACATTATTGACCATGGTTGTCGGAAACAACTCCACATTATTGACCATGGTTGTGGGAAACAACTCCACATTATTGACCATGGTTGTGGGAAACAACTCTATATTATTGACCATGGTTGTGGGAAACAACTCTATATTATTGACCATGGTTGTCGGAAACAACTCCACATTATTGACCATGGTTGTGGGAAACAACTCCATATTATGGACCATGGTTGTGGGAAACAACTCCACATTATTGACCATGGTTGTCGGAAACAACTCCACATTATTGACCATGGTTGTCGGAAACAACTCCACATTATTGACCATGGTTGTCGGAAACAACTCCACATTATTGACCATGGTTGTGGGAAACAACTCCACATTATTGACCATGGTTGTCGGAAACAACTCCACATTATTGACCATGGTTGTCGGAAACAACTCCACATTATTGACCATGGTTGTGGGAAACAACTCTATATTAATGACCATGGTTGTGGGAAACAACTCCATATTAATGACCATGGTTTTGGGAAACAACTCCACATTATTGACCATGCTTGTCAGAAACAACTCCATATTATTGACCATGGTTGTGGGAAAGCACTCCATATTAATGACCATGGTTGTGGGAAACAACTCCATATTATTGACCATGGTTGTGGGAAACAACTCCATATTATGGACCATGGTTGTGGGAAACAACTCCATATTATTGACCATGGTTGTGGGAAAGCACTCCATATTATTGACCATGGTTGTGGGAAACAACTCCATATTATTGACCATGGTTGTGGGAAACAACTCCATATTATTGACCATGGTTGTGGGAAAGCACTCCATATTAATGACCATGGTTGTGGGAAACAACTCCATATTATTGACCATGGTTGTGGGAAACAACTCCATATTATGGACCATGGTTGTGGGAAACAACTCCATATTAATGACCATGGTTTTGGCATGGGATGTTCAACAATCTCATACAGGTGTGAAGGTCGGGGGTTCACAGACTTTTGGTCTTGTAGTGTGTATGTGATCCAGAATGTGCATGAAATGTGTTTTCAGAGGCGTGTGTTTTTGCTTTTTCCTGAAGACATGCGACAGTTTTGTTAACAAACCATTAAACACACAAATGTTTCAGAAGGGAAAAATGAAGGTACATCGCATTTTTGTAATCACTTTTTCTCCTCAGGTGAACGATGTCAGCAGTAACGGCATTGACTGGACTAACGAGAATGACCGCCTTCTGGTGTGCCAAGTGTGTATCAAACTGGCGGATATTAATGGGCCGGCGAAGACGCGGGAGCTGCATTTGAAGTGGACGGGAGGAATCGTCAATGAGTTCTATGAACAGGTTCGGGAAATGAATGCAATAAAAAATTCACGCTGACATTTCAATATAAAACCGGATAAATGTGAATATTTATCGGTCACTTTGCCACACACGCATGCGTCTTCCAGCAGTCTGTTTTGGCATCTAAGGAAAGGCAATTCTAAGGTTCTTCTAAAATCATGAAAAATAATAAGTGGCACCAAAACACGAGACACAGAACAGTTGAACGACTCCCAGTGGTAGTAAAAATAAGTTTTGGCTTTTCCGACAATTTGGCAAAATGGTTGCAGACCAGGGGCGGACTGACAACTCATGGGGCCCCCGGGCAATAGGGGATCATGGGGCCCCTGTGTCCTTGCTCAAACTCAAAAAAGCCTATGAAAAAGGTACCAGGGACATCTCATGGGGCCACCTACTGACCCCGGGCCCTCGAGCAGTGCCCGAGTTCCCAAATGGTCAGTCCGCCCCTGTTGCCGATTGTCACCAGAGCAGGGAGGGAGAAAGAAGGATAATAACTAGAGCAGGGGTCTGCAACTTTTAAGACATAAAGAGCCACTTGGACCCGTTTCCGAAGGGAAAAAAAAGACTGGGAGCCGCAAAACCATTGCAACATTTAAAACAAATCCGACACTGCATATATTGTTTCTTACCTTAATGCTATATACAGGATCGTGCAGTTAGCTTCATCCCCCATATAGTAATTCATCCCCCATATAGTAATTCATCCCCCATATAGTAATTCATCCCCCCTATAGTAATTCATCCCCCATATAGTAATTCATCCCCCATATAGTAATTCATCCCCCATATAGTAATTCATCCCCCATATAGTAATTCATCCCCCATAGTAATTCATCCCCCGTATAGTAATTCATCCCCCGTATAGTAATTCATCCCCCATAGTAATTCATCCCCCATATAGTAATTCATCCCCCATATAGTAATTCATCCCCCATAGTAATTCATCCCCCATAGTAATTCATCCCCCATATAGTAATTCATCCCCCATATAGTAATTCATCCCCCATATAGTAATTCATCCCCCATATAGTAATTCATCCCCCCTATAGTAATTCATCCCCCCTATAGTAATTCATCCCCCATAGTAATTCATCCCCCATAGTAATTCATCCCCCATATAGTAATTCATCCCCCATAGTAATTCATCCCCCATAGTAATTCATCCCCCATAGTAATTCATCCCCCATAGTAATTCATCCCCCATATAGTAATTCATCCCCCATATAGTAATTCATCCCCCCATATAGTAATTCATCCCCCATATAGTAATTCATCCCCCATATAGTAATTCATCCCCCCTATAGTAATTAATTCCCCATATTGTCTCAATTCACTTACCTTTGCTCCGCGCGTTCCTCTCGCTGTGTTCCCGCGCTGTGTTCCGGTCTTCAGGGTGGACTGTGAGAGGAGTTCGTCACGCTGCCCCGCCTACATCCTGGCTGCCCCGCCTACATCGTGACAGCTAATGTTCCACGCTCCGCGGGCCGGATTAAAAGAGTCCTGACTTTTGAGGCGGCCGCCCGAGAGGAGGGAGGGGAGCAGGCGCCCGGCACACAGAAGAGCCGCATGTGGCTTGCGATCCGCGGCTTGCCGACCACTGAAACCCTATTGCCGGTCACCTGGTGGGCAGTGTGCTCCGGAGCCGCAGCAAAGATGAAAAAGAGCCGCATGCGGCTCTGGAGCCGCGGGTTGCCGACACCCGAACTAGAGGAATAAAATGATAAATCGCCGGATACTTTCACACAATTGAGGATGATACATTTTATTATTTTGTTATTATTTCATCCAGGGTGACGAAGAGGCCAGTCTGGGTCTTCCCATCAGCCCCTTCATGGACCGCTCGTCTCCCCAGCTGGCCAAGCTGCAGGAATCCTTCATCACGCACATTGTGGGGCCTCTGTGTAAATCGTACGATGCCGCCGGATTGCTGCCGGGGAAATGGATAGACGAGGACAGCGAGGAAATGGAGAGCGAAGGTGACGATGATGAGGATGGTGATGACTTTGAGTCGGACGATGAAGAGGTGGACGAGGACAATCCCAGTATGTACAGCCTGTCCTTTGTATTACAGGACAGATGTTTGGTGGGGGGGAGGGTTGTTGTGACGGGGATTCTTGGAATGACTTCCGGCCATGTGTTTTCCAAATTTTTATATAGCGTTTTGGTATTTATGTTGCTTGTTAATGATCCTCCATGTTTATGCAGATATCCTTTGTTTTGGTTGCTTATTATTATTATACAGGATTTATGGCGCCAACAGTTTGCTCAGCGCTGTACAATATAACGGGAGACAATACAGCAACAATACAGATCAATACAAGAGGGTTAGGAGGGCCTGATCCTGGGAGCTTACAATCTAGGAGGGAGGGGCTGATCCTGGGAGCTTACAATCTAGGAGGGAGGGGCTGATCCTGGGAGCTTACAATCTAGGAGGGAGGGGCTGATCCTGGGAGCTTACAATCTAGGAGGGAGGGGCTGATCCTGGGAGCTTACAATCTAGGAGGGAGGGGTTAGTGGTACAAAAGGTAATAACTGTGGGGGAAGGACTGGTAGGAGGAGTAGAAGATTCCATTATTAGATGAGGGCAGGATAGGCTTCCCTGAAGAGATCGGTTTTCAGAGATCGTCTAAAAGTGGGCAGAGTAGGCCATAGTCTGATAAATTGGGGTAGAGAGTTCCAGGGGATGGGGGACGCTCCTGGAGACGAGCATGGGAGGAGGAGACGAGGGAGCTAGACAGCAGGAGGTCATGCGAGGAGCGGAGAGTACGGTTTGGGTGATATTTGGAGACAAGATTGGAGATGTAATTTGGGGCGGAGTTACTTGTATTCTGTAAGGCCAAAAGTATGTGTTCTCCTCTCCAAATGATGGAGTTCAGGTGTCTCCAGGGAAGGGTCCCGGAAATCCTCCATCATACAAAGACATTGCAGGCAATTGTGTTCTTCCAACCTTGTGGTAACAGTTTGGGGAAGAGCCTTTTTGGTTCCACCGTGCCTGTGCCCCTGTATATGAAGCCAGCTTCATAAAGGCATGGATGACCAGTTTGGGGTGGAGGAACTCAAGTGTCCCGTACAGAGCCCCGACCTCAACCCTACTTTGATATAAAGTCGTCTCATCCAACATCTGTATCTGACCTCAAACTTGCTAAACACTAGTGGTCCACCGAAATGAAAATTCTGGTGCCGAAAATTCAGGATGCACTTGGCCGAAAACCGAAACCGAATGGGCAGTTTTTTTTAAAAAATGTAAAAAAAAAAATACACTTTGATTTAAAAAAAACACAATGTATACCCCAATTTTTTGTAAAATATGAAAGAGGATGTTACGGCGAGTAAATAAATACCCAATTGCGCACGCTCGTGGAATGGCGTCAAACTACGGTACTTATAAATCTTCATGGGTGATGCTTTAAACATTTCTACAGGTTAGCAGTGTAAAGTTACAGAGGAGGTCTAGTGCCAGAATTATTGCTCTTGCTCCAACGTTCGTGGCGATACCTCACGTGTGTGGTTTGAACACCGTTTACATATGTAGGCGTGGCCTACGTATGCGTTCATCACTACTACACACGGCCCCCGTACAGGGGGGCGGGGGCACTTAAAACTTTTTTTTTTTTTTTTTTTTTTGCGCTGTCCAAATTTTTATCACTTTTATTCCTATCACAAAGAATGCATGCATCCCTTGTGATAGATATAGGCAGTGACAGATCCTCTTTATGGATAGATATGGGGTCAGTAAGACTCTCCACTCCCCAACCCCCCCTTAAAATGTTTAGAAGGCGCCGAAACTGGAAGTGACATCGCTCCGGTCCTCCAATGACATAGAGATGAGTGGAGGCCATCTTGCCTTCACTAATATCTCTATGCCCAGTGCCAGGATCACTCGGTGGTTTCTCAGGTAAGACTGAGAACTACCGAGTGGTGGCGGGCAAGGGGGCGGGTTTTTTCGGCACCTGTATCGGTGCTTTTTTTTTGCATCAGTGCTTTTTTTCATATCGGTCGACGGCCGATAGGGGTGTTTTCGGCCACCGAAAGTTTGGTGCACCTCTACTAAACACCTTTGGGATAAACTGGAATGGCCATTGTGAGAGAGGTCCTCTCATCCAACATCAGTACCTGACCTCACAAATGGGAACAAGTTCCCGTAGACACCCTCCAACATCTTGTGGAAAGCCTTCCCAGAAGAGTGGAGGATGCTACAAATGGCGACAAATTCAATCTTAATGGCCATGGTTTTGGAATAGGATGTCCAACAGCTCAACCTTGTGGTAATAGTTTGGTGAAGACCCTTTTCTGTTCCAGCGTGACTGTCCCCTGTACAAAGCCAGCTCCATAAAGACATGGTTTAACCAGTTTGGTGTGGTGGAACTTGAGTGTCCTGCCCAAAGCCATGGCCTAACCCTACTGAACACGCTTGGGATGCATTGGATCGCTAAGCACTAGTCAGGTATATTTTTTTGTGCTCTAAGTGTGGTGCCCAAGGTAAGAGCCAGCAATTCTCGTCCAATTTATCAATATCTGACCTCACAAATGGGCACAAATTCCCACAGACACCTTTCAAAGTCTTGTGGAAGGTCGTCCCAGAAAAGTGGGGGTGGTATAGCCACATAGGAGGGCAACTCCATAATAATGGCCATAGGAGGAGGGGGAAACTTCATATTAATTGCCATAGGGAGCGACTCTATTATTAATGACCATAGGGGGGAGGGAGCAACTCTATATTAATTATTATTATTATTACTACGAGTTTATATAGCGCCAAAGGGTTTGCTCAGCGCTGTACAATAGGGGGGACAATACATGGCACAAGCTCGTAAGAGTAGGGCCCTCTTACCCCTCGTACATTGTTTGTTGTTGTTGTACTGTGCCATGTATTGTCCCCCCTATTGTACAGCGCTGAGCAAACCCTTTATTAATGGCCATGGGGGGAGGAGGTGACTCTATATTAATGGCCATGGGGGGAGGGGGCAACTCTGTATTAATGGCCATGGGGTTAAGGGGACAACTCTATATTAATGGCCATGGGGGTTAGGGGGGGAAACTCTATATTAATGGCCATGGGGTAGTTAAGGGGCAACTCTGTATTAATGGCCACGGGGGTTTAAGGGGGGCAACTCTATATATTCAATGGCCATGGGGGGTTAGGGGGGGGGGGCAACTCTATATTAAATGGCCATGGGGGTTAGGGGGGAAACACTATATTAATGGCCATGGGGGTTAGGGGGGAAAACTATTTTTAATGGCCATGGGGGTTGGGGGGGAGGAAACTCTATAATAATGGCCATGGGGGTTGGGGGGATCTATAATAATGGCCATGGGGGTTGGGGGGGAGGAAACTCTATAATAATGGCCATGGGGGTTGGGGGGGAAAAACTATAATAATGGCCATGGGGGTTGGGGGGGGGGGGGGGGAAACTCTATTAATGGCCATGGGGGTTAGGGGGGAAACTCTATATTAATGGCCATGGGGGTTAGGGGGGAAACTCTATATTAAGGGCCATGGGGGTTAGGGGGGTAACTCTATATTAATGGCCGCGGGGGTTAGGGGGGAAAACTCTATATTAATGGACCGCGGGGGTTAGGGGGAAACTCTATATTAATGGCCATGGGGGTTAGGGGGGTAACTCTATATTAATGGGCCATGGGGGTTAGGGGGGGGTTAGGGGGAAACTCTATATTAATGGACGCAGTGGTTAGGGGGGGAAAACTCTATATTAATGGCCAATGGGGGGTAACTCTATATTAGGGGGGGGGTTAACTCCATATTAATGGCCATGGGGGTTAGGGGGGGAAAACTCTATATAAATGGCCATGGGGGTTAGGGGGAAAACTATATTTATGGCCATGGGGGTTAGAGGGGGAAACACTATATTAATGGCCATGGGTGTAGGAGACAACTCCATGTTAATGGCCATGGGTTTTGGAATGGGATGTCCAACAAGCTCAAAGAGGTGTTGATGGTCAGGGGTCCACAGAGATTTGGCCATGTAGCGTGACCCCAGGATTGGGGTTTGGTTGCGAAATTGTGACCCTAAATTTCTTGTGTGTCTTTCAGAGCCTCAGAGACGGAAAGGTAGGAGGCGGATGTACTCCCAGATCATGCACCACCTCCGGGAGAACCACAAGGTATGGAAGAAGACCATCGAGGAAGAGGAGAAGGCCAAAGCAGACAACAGCAAAGCGCCCAGCGAAGGGTCCTCGTTACCCCCGTCAGATGAAATCCAGGTCATCGAAGAGGCAGACGAGGAGGAAGAAAGACAATTGGGAGAGGAGAGGAGATGCTGAAATTTTCTCAGAGTGCGTCGGGACGGTGAGGCAATGTGTGCCGCACCGCGAGGCGTTTCACGTACTGTAAAGTTGCAAGAAAAAAAAAAAAAAAAAAAGGCCTTATTACTGTGAGCGGACCCTGGCTGCCCCGGCCACTCTATGCACTTTCATAATGTGGATTCACAAACATTTATATATTATGACGTTTATTGTACGATGCAAATCCTTTGTGCCCTACCTGGTATCTCCGTACCGAATCTGATGCTGCCTTGCTGAATACAAAGCTTTTTTTTTTCCTTAAGGTACTTCGTTACAATCGTAAAAAAAAATGCGACTTTTCTTACCAAAGCAGCCACAGGAAGTTTTTTTTTTTTTTTTTTTTTTCCTTTGATGGAACCAATTTTTTTTTTTTTTTTTTTTAATTATGGAAAACTGTGCCTGAATATAAAAAATTACTGTGCGGAATGGGTCTTTTTTTATTTTATTTTTTTGTCATTTTTAAATTATGGCCGTCTCATTGGTTCCATCCGTTTAACAGACTTGGACGGAAAAAGAAAAAAAAAAAATCTATTTTTTAAGATTGGGAAAAAAAAAAAACCCAGATGCGTCGTTTTCTGATGCTTTTTAAATGTGTTGTGTATAATCCGCTTGTGTTTTACTTTATTTTAAGGAAAGTTTTTGTTTTCAGGTATCCGAGTCCCGGGATCAGCTAGGAAGAGTCACATTTATCTGGACTCCCTTCTGTAATGTTGAAGATGTTTTGCAGCTTCTCTGAATTGCTGCTTCAGTTCTAATGAGTGTCGGGAATATCCTTCAACTACTATATCCACCTAGAACACCTTCATCCAATCCCCACAGGAATGTGTCAAGGCGGATGCTGATTGTCCAGTGTGAGGAAAGAGGAAAAATAGTGCTGGACCTATAGGGGGTTAACTTAGGGGGCCTCCAAACGTACTAAACTAAGGGCCAGTTTACTGTCCTTCAGACTTTAAGGGGGCTGGACTGTGGCCATTGGGAGTAGAAAATGTCCCAGCATTAGTTGGAGTAGACAATGCCCCATCATTGGTAGGAATTGTGCCCATTGGTGTCATTGGTAGGAATTGTGCCCATTGGTGTCATTGTAGGAATTGTGCCCATTGGTGTCATTGGTAGGAATTGTGCCCATTGGTGTCCCAGGAATTGTGCCCATTGTGTCATTGGGCCCCATTGTTGGTGTCTGTTGGAGGACTGTGCCCCGTTGTTATTGTCATGGGTATAAATTGTGCAGCATCGTTTATGTCGTTGGGAGGAATTGTCCCCCATCATGGATGTTATTGGGGCCCCATTGTTGGTGTCAGTGGGAGGAACTGTTGCCCATCTTTCATGTCATTGGTTGGAATTATGCCCATCTTTGGTGTCATTGGGGGAAACTGTGCTCCATCATTGGGAGAGGTTGTCCACCATCATTGGTGTTATTGGGCCCCATTGTTGGTGTCAGTGGGTGGAACTGTGGCCCATCATTCATGTGATTGGTTGGTATTATTGGGAGGAATTGTGCCCCATCATTGGTGTAATTGGGCCTCATTTGTGGTGTCAGTAGGAGGAACTGTGCCCCATCTTTGACCATTGGTGGGAATTGTGCCCCATCATTGGTGTCATTGGGAGGAATTGTGCCCCATTCATTGGTGTCATTGGGAGGAATTGTGCCCCAGTGTTGGTTCATTGGGAAGATGTGTTCCCCCTCACTGGACCCCATTTTTGGTGTCATTTGGAGGATATGTGCCCCATCATTGAAAGGAATTGTGCCCCTTAGTTGGTGCCAATAAATGAAATAGTGCCCCATCATTGGTGTCAGTGGGAGGAATAGTGCCCCATCATTTGTGTCAAGGGAAGGAATAGTGCCCCATCATTGGTGTCAGTGGGAGGAATAGTGCCCCATCATTGGTGTCAGTGGGAGGAATAGTGCCCCATCATTGGTGTCAGTGGAAGGAATAGTGCCCTATTGTTGGGGTCAATGATAGGAATTATGCCCCATTGGTATCCATAGGAAGAATATTGTCCCAAGGTCTTGATGAAAGCAAGCAAAAGGGCCACATCTGGCCCCTGATGGCAACCCAAAAAGTATCCAGTGCATTTCAGAGGTCCAAGAGCACCCCAAAGCTAGAAAAAAGCTGATGAAGGGGGTGCTCTTGGACCCCTGGAACGCGTTGGACTGTACCCCTGGACTTTTATTGAAATAAAGTTGTATCTGGAACTCTTGGCAATGTTGACTGTCCAAGATGGGAGGTGTGAAAGTTGTGGAACCCCCTCCCTGGTCTAGTTACATCATCCCATCCTTGGTGTCAGAAAGTCTTCACAGGTGTCAATCCTGCTAATGGCATGGCTGGAGGTGTGAACTGTAAATATGCCGGGGTGATGTTGGAAAGATGTGATACGAGGCAGATGGGTAGCAGCCACCAACGCCATCTGTCTTCACATATAATGTCATTGTACCATCTCTGTCCTGGGGGTGTGACCAGGGGCGGACTGACCATTCGGGCACTGCCTGACGGCCTGGGGTCAGTAGGGGGCCCCATGAGATGCCCCTGGTACCTTTCATAGGCTTTTTGGGTGTGGTTTGAGTGTGGGCGAGATCCCCTATTGCCTGGGGGCCCCATGAGTTATCAGTCCGCCCCTGGGTGTGACAAAAAATTCACACTTGACTAGAAGGATTAACACCCATGCAGACATAAGACACCAATGATGCGATTACGTAAGTAAAAGAAGAGGTTCCATAACTGTCACATCCTGTTCTTGGACAATCAGCATCTGCCTTGACACATTCCACAATGAATGGGACGAAGGTACCGAGGACGATGAAACATCATCATTATCGCAGACCGAGTCCATGACTACCAGCGACACCATGACTTGGGTACCTGAACCTTCTTTACAGACATGATGGTTATACCAATTTCTTTTTTGTTTGTTTCCTTTTCAGTTGCCGTTCTGTGGTAGACCCTGAAAGAAAGAAAGAGAAAAAAAAAAAAAAAAGGAGAAAAAAAAAGAAAAAAAAATTCACAAAAAAAAAAAAAAAAAAAAGCCTAAATATTTCAGTAATGAAGGGATTTTATTTTTTTTAATTAGGCGATTATTATTATTATTATATATATAAATATATATTATATATATTTTTCCACTCTTTTTCTCAGGATTGGTAGGTAAACGTGTAACATTTGTAACACCCGTGTGATACGATGTGTCAGCTCCTCAAACGTTAACCGATAGTTTAGCAGATTCTACATAATGCGTATTATTAACCGTTTTATCCGATCCCCCATGTATTTTTGGGGGCGCCGCCTCCCTCTGGGGGGAGGGGCTTATGTATTTTTCACGTATAACGCTAACATTTCAGGTGCCGCGGGATAAGACGAAACCCTCGGATGAGACTTAACACGCACCCCACCCCCCCCTCCTCACACCCCCGGCCAGTATTGCTCGGACGCATCCTTCGCTCGTAATGCCGCAGGCCAGTGCGAAAAGTGTCGATGACTACTAATATCCCGCAGAGGTGCTGAGACAAAACCGATGCGATCCTGTCCCGGGTACATCCGTCGCCCTGACGACATACACTACGCGGACGTCTTGTAATAACTGACAGCGAGGGGTTCATTCGCAGTGGGCGGGGCTTGCGAAATGACGCACTGGCGCGCTCTGATGCTTGTTCCCGACGGGTGATTCATGTCAGCATTTTTTTTCTTTGAATAACAAAAATGAGGCCTTATTGGTAATTGTCGCACCCAGCGAAAAATATATAGGAACAAGCATGGGTTGACATGACCTTTTACCCCAAAAGTCGTTAGATTCCCATTCGGTCAATGTCATTGGCTGGAATTTGCACCTGAAAATTGAAATCGGGTGTCTGCTGTAAGCTAACGAGGGGGGAGGTGCTTAGGAGAGCTTGCAGCAGTGACAGAGCTCCGCGGGGGTGTTGCCATTGAGCTGGCATTCTTCAGGGAGTTGGAGGAGGCGGGGAAGTAGCACAGAGACTGCAAAACTGCATTGTCTATTTCTTACACTATGGTGGAGAATCCCTCCTGGGAGGGTGACATTAGCTCAACAGGGAGGGCATGGGGGGGGGGGGCCACAAGCACTGGTGGAGCTTGAATCCTTTGGGCCCCGATGTAGAAGCTGAACCAGGTTCCCCCCCGGGATGTGTAGGCCCCTCTGACTTCCAGATTCACATACAAGCCCACCGCTTTCACCTGGAAGCTCAGAGTGTGGCCTCCACGTTGTGTGCAAGGTTGGGTGGGGAAGGAGGAAAAAAGAGTGCATTGGTGGGGGGGGTCTTGCCCCATCACCCTGTGTAGGTGAATCCAGAAACTCATAGAGCCCAGGATGGGGGAGCCACACCGGCCAATGAAGGCTTGCCCCATCATCCTGCAGTCTTGCCCCATGTGTACCCTGGTGTGAAGCCAGAAACTCAGAGGGCCCAGGATGGGGGAGCCACATCGGCCAATGAAGGCTTGCCCCATCATCCTGCAGTCTTGCCCCATCACCCTGTGTAGGTGAAGCCAGAAACTCAGAGGGCCCAGGATGGGGGAGCCACACCGGCCAATGAAGGCTTGCCCCATCATCCTGCAGTCTTGCCCCATCACCCTGTGTAGGTGAAGCCAGAAACTCAGAGGGCCCAGGATGGGGTGGCCACACAGGCCCCCTGGAGCATGGGTGGGGTCGCCGTTGCGACCCCTGTAGCCCCGCCCATGGTCAGAAGAGGATTTCCAAAGGGATTTGGTTTTTATGTTCCACTGATTGGCTGGAGATGACTTTTAGTATTACGTCATCAATACGTTCATCTGCCAATGAAGGCTTGCCCCATCACCTTACGTAGGTGAAGCCAGAAGCTCAGAGGGCCCAGGATGGGGAGGGGGGCCACACAGGCCCGCTGGAGCATGGGTGGGGTCACCGTTGCGACCCCTGTAGCTCCACCCATGGTCAGAAGAGGATTTCCAAAGGGATTTGGTTTTATGTTCCACTGGCTGGAGATGACTTTTAGTATT